GCATGCACACACTAAAAAACGCACACTATCACAGTCAGCATGTACCAGAGAGCAAACACCAAAAAATGGTAAAAGGAGAACCCGAAACTAACCGCAATTTTCGAGGCGCTTGCATGCGATAGAAATAGAAAAGGCAAACGAATAAAAAAGGGATTGAACTTGGCTTAGAAACAACGAAGAGCTTAATACCTTAATACTTATTTCAGGGTGTGATAAAACAAGAAAAATTTAAAGACATTGCATTCTAGTTTCGACAGGATAGTTACTTCACTAAATTAAATATATTAGCTGAAAAGGTTACAATTTAAGTGTAATATATTTAATGACTAATAGCATTAATAAATCTAGAGGATTTAGAAATAAACAAAACGAAGAAAAAAGTATAGCATACCAAACGGCGCCATTTTATTAATGCTTTCCGCACCAACACACTGCGGCTGCTTTCACTTTTCACTTTTTTGCTCAAACATATTTTTTATAGCTTTATATTTTATTTTATGTGGGGTCACATCCAATTGCTTTTTGCTATTTGCCGACCGAAGAGAAGCCACAACATAAAATAAACCGAGAATCAACATTTGGAGCAATTTCATTTACTAATTTTTTCGGTGTGGAGGACCTTAGTTATTGATTTGGAGGGTTCATTGATATGTGTTCCGAGGAAAAGTTTGCAGACGAATGGTATGGCCCACTCTTGCTTTTCGAGTGTGTGATTAATACATTTGGTCAGGCATTAAAAAAAAACACAGGGCAACCCACTCGAACCGAACTCTGTTTTATTTGACTTAACCACTTCAGATGGCCATGTGCCGTGTGTTTTTATCCCTGACGTGCCCCTTTTTTATTATTTTTATTTGGCCCGAGTTTAAGGACTCTTGAGTAATGATGGCCAGACCAAAAGCGAACTGAATTCATGGCGGGGACCCCGCAAATTTGCGGCAGCCAGAGGTCGAAAGGGAGAAAAGGAAAAGTGCTGACATGTTATTTGTGCAGTTAACGAGCTGAGTTATTTTCCTGGGAACAAACCGCACTTGAATACAATAAAATGAAGAAAATAAAACCAACAGCAGAAATCGAGTGAAAATATAATAAAAAGGGGACGAGCGGGCAGGCTGGCCAACCCAAACCCAATTTCCCCTCGCCAATTTTGGTTGCAGCCTAACAAATTATATAAATTGTATTTTGCTGGTTGAAAGTTGGTTATTTGTTTATTTGATTGCTGCTCATTAAAATTGGAAATGTAATATTTATGCATTGGCCCCGCAAACTGCACCCATTTAATTATATTTTGTAAATCAAATTTTTGGCAAGCATTTGCACAAATAAACTTGTTTATATGGAATGCTGGATATCTTTTTAAAGAGAAATGTTTTAATTGCTTATTGAAAAATATTATTACAATTAAGAACTGATTTTGCAACCGCGTACAAATAATATATTTAACCGATAGTTTTTAATATTTTATTAGCAAATTTAATATTTAAATATTTTTGTTTGAGGCGTAGAGATTCCACAACGCGAAAAAACAATTTTCGCAAAAACCTCGTTTTTCTCCTTCAACTAAAAACACATAACTATGCTAGTAATTTATATGCAACTTTCTATTTTTATTTGAATAACAAATTTTGGAAAAAGTGAGCAGATGCAAGTCAACTCAAGCCAACTAACACACCCGAACAAATATTTAACATATTTTTTCCAAATAAAATTTTCATAAAACAATAAAGGTGAAAAGTATGCAGACACACATGACTAACACAAATGCATGTTGAGCTTGGCTCGAATTGCAACTATGCAAATGGCAAACATGGAACATCTGACGCAACCTGTCTCATCCACAAAACATATATTCTTTCGCAAGCACTGAGAAAAAAATTCTACAATGTAAGTTACAAAATTAAGTCTAAGGCTCAAAACATATTTACACTTCCTTTAGTTTATTTAAAGAAAGCCACTATTTTTGATAGACTCATATAAAGGAACGAGCACCTACTTTCGCTCAGTGCCTAGGGAAATGGATGCACTGCCCCTTGTCGGCTGGTTTTCGATTTCACTAGAACAAAACCCCACAAAAAGTCGCGGGAGCTGAGCTTACTCACTGGGTTATCCTTGAATGTCCCTCAGCCAGCAGCTAAATTAGCTTTTCCCGGGTCACACACACACTCACTCACACACCCACGAATAAAGAAAAGCTGGATGTTTTCAGGGGGTGGGGCGGTTGCTGCATAAACAAACAACAAAGCAACGACAGAAGCAAAAAGCAGCAGCAACAATTGAAATGATACAAACACAGAGAACGCTGCAAAGTGAAATGCAATGCAAGAATGGGCTATAAATAGACGACCGGGGTGGAAAATGTGGAAAAATTGTTCTGGGTGCGTTTTCCTTTTATTTTTTTGGCTCAGAAGAAAAAACAGCGCAGCATTCTTTTCAACTGCTTTTGTTGGCTGAAAGGTAAAGAGGTGAAATTGGAAGGGGGAAGAAAGTGGAATTTAAGAAAACGACCTTCAGATCATGAAGCGTAATTTGAGAAAATCTAGAAAATTATAACAGAGATTGCAGTTACTTTTAGCTTGAGATATAGTAAACAAACGCTCACATCTCATATGGTTTGCAAGTTTCCTGCGAGTGCCTATGCAAATTGCTAGTGATTTTTCTTACACATTTTCCTTTACAATTTCCCTCACTTTGAGTGTACTCTCCTTTGGCTCACGCAGTCCATTGTCGCCTTACCTTAAGCCACAGAAAAGCTGCACGGTACTCTGAGAAGAGTCCTTTCCAGACCTCCTCCAAACATCCTTGTATTCACATGTGCTGGGCATTATTTGCTTACATGACCAAAGCTCCTCCCCTCACACAGCCACCCACTCCTGGCCACTTTAATAAATGAAAAACCTCTCTGCGTTCTGTTTTTGCACTTCTATTTGTTTAGCGCAGCTACTGTTTTCCTACATTTTTGTTCTGCTCATTGTTGTTTGTTTTGGCGCGCATTAGAACAAAGTCATTTCACTTTCAGCAGGAAAATACCCCATTGGGGATGAACTATTATTATATGAGTCCCGATTTATTTGATATCTGCTTTATCTGAAGCACCAGCGCCCAGTCGCCAACTAATTTAATGTCACATGCAAACGCAACATTACATTTAGCTCGAGCTAATTGCAGTGCAACACGCGCTTTAAAGTCAATGAACGATTTGGTATTTCGCCATTTTACTTGGCCACAATTGCAGGCACGCAAATGTCAAAGCTTTTTAAAATAGCCATAAAATGCCCAGAACGAAGGGAGACCACGAAAATAGCAGCTAAAGTTGTAAATTGCTAGGGCAGTAAACATAAAATGTCATACTCAATGGGTTACAAAAAATGTACGCAATGTTTGCCTTTTGTGGAAGACGTTAGAGATGCGAGTATGTAAACTCTGAATATATCGAAACTTTTATTTGTGTTTGCTATATTTATTTTATTTTGCTTAATAAAAATATACCAAAGTTCCAAAACAAAGTTTCTATTTATATGGGTTCTATAAAATAATAATCCCAATTCCTCATCCCTTGTTCCCAATCCCATTTTTGTGTATAAATGATATCCTAGAGCGTTTTCCACCATAGGTGGTAACTGTCAAAAAGGCGCCTCCCTGGGCGCCAACTATTTGCATGTGTGATAGGGCTCAGACGGTGTGGGATGGGCAGGTAAAGGAAAAAGGGGCAAAACCAATGGCAAAGCGCCCTTTGCAGGGCCACAAATCAAAGGCAGAATCGTGAAAACAATATGTCAAATGATATTACACATTAAATTAGTTAAGACCAAACAAATGTGAATAATAACGCCGCCTGTCGCGTGTTTGCGGGGATGTTTGGGTGTACGGGTGTAAGGAAGGAGTAGGTTTCGTGTCGAGCATGTGCTCGGAAAACTCGATTTTCCTTACACCTACACCTCCGAACACACTTAACTTAACCTAACCACCGCAAGAGGATTTCCCTTTTGCTACTTGGCTTATATGCACACATATTCGCCCAGCGGCAATTTGTCACGTGACATTTTCGTTTGCCCTAAAATTACAAATGTTTTTATTATTTTTGGTTTGTTTTAAGGATTCGCGATGCCAAGCAGGTGCTTCAAGGCGTTGCCAAGGTGCGTGTTTCTGGTTTTTGATTTCTCGGCGTGTTTACACTGAGGATACAAGGCAACATGACAGCTCAATCAAGTTCCAAGGCAAAACTTTCTCTTTAAGCAAAAAACATTTAAATATTTTTAGCAATAATCACATCAAAACTGCGCGCTGAATTTCCTTTGAATTTTTAAAAATGCAATGGAGTTTTAAAAGCCACAAAAAGAAGAAGCCTATTTCACCATATACACCTGACTTTCGATGTTTATTTATGCATTCACCCGAATTAACGATGATTTTAATGGATTTTCGCTGTATTGGTTGTATATATTTTTTACATTGGCATAATTATATAGCTTCTTGTCCATTTCTGCTAATGAATTAAGTTGAATTTCAAAAAGCATTCTTGTCGTGCACGCAAACATGCAATGCAGTTAAAACCTTGCGGAAAAAACTAAATGAAAATGGTTTACAATTGCAGTTATTATAGTTTCTTATGTGACAGGAAAACTCGTTAAAAAGCGAAAATTGTGATTTATGATTTAATGCAAAATGTACAAGGAATGCAGAGGGCACATAAAAATGATATTGCTGTTAATGTTAATTAATAATTAAATTGTTTGTTCGAGTGCGTTCTTTACAGAGAGTAATAATCTAATTACCGATAAAATGATTAAATTAGTATTATTATGACGTTGTGTTTCCGTAAATTAATATTTAAAAGCACGTAAAATACCAATCACAAACATTACAAATAATTGGGTCTCATATTAAACACTGACGTGTTAAGCAAGTGAAATATTAAAACCAATAATGAAAGCATTTTGTTAGAGGTCAGTGTGAGTTGAAGTTGGTTTCCGCAATAGATCACAATGTCGTCATTCGCACACTCACCTATCCCTCAGGCAAATTTTGAACTCCGTCTGGGAATCGTAGTCGCTGTTATCGATAAAGCTGCTGCGATCCCGCTCCCGCTCCCGTTCCCGCTCCCGCTCCCTTTCGCGCTCCCGCTCCCGCTCCCTTTCCCGCTGGTACTCCTGCATGGTGGCCAACTGCTTGTTGAACAGCTCCTGCTGCGTCTGGAGGAGATCGTGGTGATCCTGCAGAGCGGCCAGCTGGGAGAGCTGCTGCTGGTAGGAGGACGTCTGTTGCTGCTGATGCGGTGGCGATGTGGCTCTGGGTCGCTGGTACGGATGATGGTGGTGGTGGTTGTGGTGGGGCTGATGGTGGTGCAACTGCTGATGCTGCTGCTGCTGCTGCTGCTGGTGGTGGGGCAGCGGATGGCGCTGCAGCGGATGGTGGTGATTGTGGTTGTGGTGGTGGTGCTGCTGCAGACTGTGGCTGCTCTTCAGCTGCGTCAACTTGGCATCCACCTCCGCGAGGCCGAACTCCAGTTCCGCCTGGGCCTGCTGCTCGTAGGCCTGTTGCGCCTGCTGCAAGCGCTCCCGTTCGCTGCGCGGGGAATTGGCCAGTTGTTCCGCCGGTGGTTCGATCTCGACCGCTGAGTAATCGTAGTCCAGGCGGTGGTGGTGGTGCAGCGACTGTGTATTCTTGCTGTCCGCCGTCACCGCCCCCGTTCCGGGCGTGGCAGTGGCTATTTTGCCGGCCAGCGCGTCCAGCGAACTGAGCATCTTAATGGATACGCTGATTGATCAGAAGTTGTGGCTATAATCGATCTGGAATCTTTCGCCTTTCGGTGGGTTTTTCGCTGACATGCAGATTCTCAACGCTCAAACCCTTCGCTTCGCCACTAGCTTCTTTTGGACACCTCTGGGTTTCCTTACTTTTGTATTTCAGTTTTTTTAAAATTGTAAAATATTGCCTATAATTTGCCTGAAGGAGAAGTTGAGAGGCAAATTGCAATGGATTAGTAAATTTAAATGATTATTTATTAGTTATATTAGATATATGAGCGGATGCGACCTTCAGACATTCACGCATGCAATATTTATTCCCTGTTTAGTTTACAGCTTAGGTCAGCTACATTTCACTTAAGCTCACAAACTCGAAAATAAAGAACCCGTTCACACACACTCGCACACACTTAGTCACCCACACAAGCACCCGCTTAGTGTGTGTTCTTCCGTCTGTGTCCGTCTGTGTCGGTGGTCGTAAAATGCAAACACTTGAACTAGAAAAGAGGGCCAGAGCTTGAAAGGCAGGAAAGGGGTTTCAGGGATAGGAGGATGCACTGCTGGAGTGTGGATACCACTCACATTGTGTGCACTGTTTGTCCACCACCCACCACCCACTTTCCACATGGCCACCCCCACAGACACAAACATCTCGAGGGGCAAAAGTCGCTCTTCTGGCTTCTGCGGTCAGAATAATTGGGGGACACATTCAAATAAAGAAAATCAAGAGGAATGCCAAAGTTATACCTCTTTAGCAGACTGAATTCGTTGAATTTTGTTTCACACTTGCTCGGCTGCAAAATGAATATTCATTTATCGTACTGCCTTTAAAGTTTCATCCACTAGATAAATATCTATACCTATTGCTTGGGGCCAAAATAATCCAGATAGCAATACTATATGGTCAATAGCAGTGTAGGTAATTCCATTAACAATGCATTGACAAATTTGAGTACACTTCTGCTAAACATATTCTTAAAGCTGACCGATCCTATAGTCTCGAATCCTTATGCACTCTGCTCAACACCTGCTATATCTGCAATCAAATAGCAGCTTACAACAAAAATCCATTGTTGCAGTTGAGGCTGCAGCAGTTTTATATCTACAAAAAACTACAAAGTTTGCTTAGTATCTTTTGCCAGCAATGATTGAGGTGCTGATGGAGAAAAAGAAGTGCAGAGTGGGTGGCTGAGTGGATGGGCGATATCGTCCCTGGGATTTTGTTGTATGACATACTATAAAAGTCAACTTGAATGCGGTGTGTAAATTTCACCACATCTCCTACTCCAAGGATGCTGCAGCTCTCAGTGTAGTGCCTTGCAACTTTAAGTAGTTCTCCCTGCCACACATCCTTTCTGCATCCGTAGCAATGGTTGCATTTGAAAGGAATTTGCCTTTTACAAGATTTTACTCTTTGCAATTTACACGCGTCGACCGCTTTTCCATAAGCACACAAATGCATCTAAAACACACTATGTACACGACGTTTTGCTCATGTGTTTGGCTGACTGTTGCAAGCAGTTGGCTTTTGTAAATGTTACTTCCTTATTACATGGCATTATATTACTCCAGATACACAGAGCTGGTCCCGGCTATCAAAGTAGTCGCAGCCACAAATGGGAAACAGTATGCGAGTGCAGAGGAAGTTGCAGGAGCAAAAAGATGTGGGTTGCTGGTAGGAATATTTTCCTAAATGCATTCCAGGATGTTTGCCCACACAGGATGTCTTTGCAGCTCCAGAGACGGAAAGAAAGAATTCATTGTGCCGGTAATTAGCGAGAGGTAGATGTGTTTTGCAACTCATTTTGAAGTTTAGTTCAAGGGCCTTAAATTTAATTGGGAAATGCATATTAAATGACAGATTGGGGGTATCCTTATTAAAAAAATGCTGATACGCGTATTTTGATGAGGAAATATTAAATTAAATATCCTTTCTGCTCGTCACCCATTCAACATTTATTAATGATTTTTTAAATGTACATTTAAAAGTGCAAGTATTACGGTGAGTTAAAAAACAGCTTGTATTATTTATAGTGCGGACAACACAACAAAAGAGGGGATAAATAATTACCAGCACAATATTATTATTTTAAAAATCTGTGCGAGTAAAGCACAAATGAATAAATCATACATTTTACCGAACGTAAAAACGCTACAGAATTATCATTAAAAAAGCTTAATTAAGTGCACAAAACCGAAATTTGCATTCATTAGTCTCCAACGAGTATAGCTTTAATCCTTTAAAAAACAATTCAGCAACTTAATTAGGCAAGCAGCTAATTGCATTCAAAGGATATCAAGCTCAACCCACAGCCTCAAGGCAAAAGTGCCAGACAGTTGGAAGTCGGCTCCTTTTTGTACTTTTCATTAGCCTTCTCATAATAGAATTTGAAAGGGCTTTAAGAGCGGCACGCTCACGCTGTGTGTTATCAAAACTAACAAACGGAAAACGGAAAACTGAGAGGAATGTGCGCGGAAAACTCAGAAAAAACTGCAAGAGAAAATCGCGATAGACGGAAAAACTAGCGTACTCCGAGCTTCAAAGACAAGCGCGCCATAACCCAAAAACATAAATCCTTTGGCGCAAAATAAATAAAGCAAACTGGCAGCAGGAAAATGAATATGCTCCGCTTCGGAGACAGAAGAGGATATATAAGTGGAAAAAGTTGATAAGCGGCATCTGCAAAAGCTTTTTAACACCCAGCCAGAAAGAAAAAGGCGAAAGAGACACATTGGATGCGGATTTTTCCCGCTGCGGGTCCGCAAATAAAGGAAAATAATGAGATTTCCCTGGCCATTCGAGTGACAGAGAGTGACTTGGAAATTATTGAGCTCTAACATAGAAATTGTAAATATATATGTTTAGTTTTGCAATGAGCTGGGTCAAATAACACAAGTGGTTGTAATTGCACACTCGGCCCAGATTAGATTCCTTACAATTTATTTGAAAACATTTACCGTAGATTTCATTCGATGTGTGCACTAATTAATTTACCTAAATTAAACCCGGCCCGGTTGTTTTACTTTGCAATGCCCTATCATCTTCCCAGTTTTATGAATAAATATGTACACACTATGCAATTATCAGCTGAATCTGAGCACAATTTCCTGCTTTCCATGGTGATGCGAAACTAGTGCAAACATTCATTTTGGCCAGCATTAAATCAATCGAATCGTTTGTTGCGGCACACAAACATTGTGTCACTTCGCAATATAATATATAATAATCCTGAGGATGATATAGAAACCCAATAACCGACCACCTACCCCGAAGACAATGGCATAAATTGTCGGCCGACAATTTAATAAACAATGCAAACTCAGGGCTAAAGTAATTAGACATTTATGGTTGTGTGCTCGGGGCCCATGCAAATGTACTCGCATTTAAATGCATCGAGTAACTAATTAAGCAGCAGGAGATGGCCTAAAATTCGATAATAAAAATTGAGAAAATATTTTCATTTGCCTTTAAAGCTTGAAGCCTTGAAATTAAATTTTGCACACAATTACTGCCTTCGCTGTTGGCCGTAAAGAAGAAAGTCTTAACCGCAACAAGCCAAAGTCACGATGAGCGGGAGAAAGCAATTACTTTCTGCTTTGCTTGTTGCTTCTGCCACAAGGAGACGTCGGTGGTCCTGGCCCGAAAAAATGGGAATAGAAAACTTTTTGTGGCCCTGACAGCAGTTTATGCTACACTTGCTCCGACTCAAACTGTCAATATTTTACTTTAAGACACCCAGCCACAAGGAGTCGGGCAGCAACCACATCATTTGCTATAAATTTACTTCATGCTGCTGCTGCTGCTGCTGCTGCCGCTGCTGTAAGAAACCAAAACTCAGCGGAACAGAACAACAAAGTGGCAACTTCTTGTGGGCGGTTCCAGACATAAATTCCTCCTTACTGATTTTCCCAAGCTGGACATGTAATGGGAATTAAAATGAAAAAGTGCTCAGGATTCCTTCGCTGGAACTTCAAATAACGTTGTATTTATAATTTGTTGCAAGGGAGAAGCTTGTTATTTGAAATCACTCACTAAGGTGTATGTAAAGTACGCAACACTTTATTGTAAATCATTTACATTGTTAGAAATATTTACTGTGGAGCAGTAAAATCAAAGTGCCTGCCCATTTCATGGCTTTTGTAGAAAATAACCCATACAGAACTTACCGATTTCCCAGCTACCAAAAATCCTACTGTACTTTGTGGTTGATGCCGAACATGTTTTCCTGCCAAAGTTAAGACGAAACGTGCCCCACCACTGCCTCTCGATTGAACCACCCACCCAAGTGGGCCACAAATTTTGAGGTCAGTCCTGGATGGGCTGGCATAAATCTGAGTGCAAACTACGCCGAGGAGAAGCCGTCTTGGACACAGGACATCTCTCCTTTGGCCCGTGGCGAGTCCTTGGAAACGGACTCTGAACCCCACGTTGATGCTGGTAATCAAGGCATTAAGTGTGTTTACTGTTTATTTTATTAGACTTTAAGGCTTAATAGCTTTTTCGATAGCGTTGCTGGGCTCGCCTTTGTTTAGCTGTCCCACTCGAATTCGCCCCCGCCCACTTAAGTATTTAATTAAAGTCAACTTTGATTTAATTAAAAGTTCTGGCGCTTGCCCAATATTTTGCTCATGAATTATTTATGCCAACAAGGGCACAAAAAAAAGGTGACCAAACTGATTAAGTCGAATAAACATAAAAAAGAGAGGCAATTGCTGATGGTTGAAAACAGAAAGAGCGACAAGTTACAAGTTTGCGCCGCAAAATAAGAAAAACTCTTACTCTCATTAGCGAGAAACTTTGCCCAGGACTAAGACTATAACCTTCCCCATTTTCCTTAATATTCTCTTCCTTTTTTGAATGGCAAACTTTTCCTTAAACTTTTACAGTCCTCTTTACGTTCTCTCACTTTTCCTATTTGTCTTAGCCAGTACTTGGTCAATTTCCTGGTCAGTTTTGTAACTTTATTGAAGTGTCCTGCGATCGACTGTCATTGACTGCTTCTTTGTTGATGTCCTTGGCGCTAAGTATATCCAATAAGACACCATTATTCATGCGCCTACTTATAGCTGCCTATAATTTTACGATTTCTTTTAAAACATTTTAAAAGCTAGTTTTATGCTAGTTGCTTTAATAAACTATTTGCTGTGTATCAAACAAAGGTTTGAAAACGGTATAATTATTAAAACAATGTTTGGAAA